GCCGCTGAGGGGAGGTCTGCCCGGAGTTTGGCCCTCCTGTGGTGGGAAGCACAAGTCACACCTGTGCCCACTCCTTGCTTGTCTGCCATACTTTGCCTCGAACACAGTGGCCAAAAGTTTGTCTAGGGCCACACTGCCACTAGAGAAGTCACAGCCCTTGGGAGGGTGGAAGTTCCAAGCAAGGACCTCTGCCCCAACCCTGCCTCTTCTGCAAATGTTTTCTTGATTTTCATGGCCCTTCCCCTCCAGGAAGCCTTCTGCTGTTACAGCCTACGCAGATCCCCAGCTTCTGAGCTCCCACCAGCTCTGCCAGGAAGTCGGAACCACAGGCCTCCCCTAATTGACTCGTCTCAGAGTCTGGTCTCTTCTACTGGCCAGCAGGGGAGCTCTCAGGGTTCCTCTTCCATTCCCCCCTCCTGTGTCCCTGACAGTAGATAGCACAGGCCATAAATGCCTGGGTCTGGGTGAGAACCAGGTAAGCAGGCATCAGAATGTCACCCACCCACAAGGGTTCCAACTACGGAGCAGGAAGGCAGCCCCTCTTCTGCTTGCTCCTGCACCTCTGGGCCCAGACCACGAAGGGTGGGGGTTGGGGGAGGCGGAGGGAAGCTGCGGTTAGAGGCCCAGCCCCACCAAGGCGTACACAGCTCCTGTGTGAGAAGCTGCTCTCATCACAGTACCTCAAAACCAGGAAGAGAAACTGAGCAAGCAGAAAGGAGACGGGCTGCATGTGGCTCTCAGGCCCCTGGGGGCCTGCCCAGAGCAGCTCCCAGCCAGTAGCTGGACAGATCCCTCCCTTCTCCCTCCTGGGTCTCAGTTTCCTCAAGGGAAGAATGGGATTTTCTCCCTGGTCCTGCCAGTCCTCCCGTTTGGTGCAGGCTGCATCCTGCTCCACAGAGACCCCACAATTGGTGGAACAGTACTGATACCCCATGGGCTTTGGTCTCTCCCAGGAGGCAGGGGCTGGACCTTGGAAGCTAGCCTGGCCTTGCTCTCCCCCTCCCCCCTCAGCCACGCAGGGAGCACACTGGATCTCCCTTCAACAGCTCTTTATTTTTAGGTCTGAATTTGACTTTAATCATTACTTAGCAGGTTCTATTTCTAGTGCTTGGATGAAGGGACCCAGAGGAGGGGAGGAAGGGAGGCAGTGCTCCCTGCCTGGTGTGGGGGGTGGCCTGCTCCTCCACCCATCCTGCCCAGCCAAGGAGAGGGGACTGAAAAACACTGCAAGGGCTTACCCTAGCTGGCCCAGCGTCTTGGAGAGGACCCCGCCCTGTGACCTCATCCCAGCTCAGACTGTGGGACAAGAGGGCAGTTGTGATACCCACTTCCCTTGCACCAAGACCAGGGAAAAGGCAGACACTCCACAGGCAGAAGTCCGGCAGCCAGAGTCCAAGGTCACATGCATGGCGACCTCTGCATTGAATGGGCCACCTCGGGGAGGACCCTGTCCCTAGGTTAGTTCTGGGCCATCCTGGGGTCATTTGGGGCCATGGTCTTCTAAGCCTGGGACTGACAAGCTGAGACTGGTTTCCTCCTACTGTCCACGGGGTGGTCCCAGGAGGGCACTCCCAATTCTCTGGTCTCCACAGAAGCAGAACAAGAGGAAGCGAGCAATATCACATCAATACACTCTCAGGTCAGACCTGGGGAACACCTGCCAAAGAGGAAGGCGCGAACACACGAGACTTCCCCAGAGATTTGTGGACCATCTATGTTCCCTTCCAACTCCCCATGGGAGGCTCTAAAATTCTTGCCCACCTCGGCCCCTGGGAAAGAGTAGGACAATGAGGTTGGCAAGGCTGTCCCTGGGTTAGGGCTCAGAACGCCTGGGTTCCTTGCCCAAGTCTCAGCTTTCCCAGGGAAAGTAGGCCTCTCTCCTCACTGGGGAAATGCAAGGGCTGGCCTAGGAAGTAGCTGAAGCTGCGGGACGGGAGGCAGCTGTGCTCTCAGAGAAGAGGCCCGTCTACTCAGCTCTGATGCTGGAAGAAGAGAAAATGGGTAGGTTCAGGTTCCAGAAACCAACCAGTAGCCCATCTTCCCAGAGCCAGACCCATGACCTGGGCTGGCCAATCCCAGGGTGGTAGGGAGGGGAAAGGAGGGAGGAAGGAGAGGGTACTGGCCGGAATGTTTCAGGAGCCCCCCACTCCTTGGCAGAGATTGGGCCTTGGCTGGGTGAGCCACCAGCCAAATCTTCCCCACATGTTGACGCAGCCTGTGGTGGGCATTATACCAACAGCGTCAACCCCTCCTGACAGAGTGCCTGTGGAAGCCAGGGACCGTGCCAGACACTTTCTAGCACCTTAGTTACTTCACACTGTCTGCACACTCCCCTCTGAAGCAGGTACCACCATCCTTGGTGTGTGCATGAAAGACCTCGGGCACAGAGGGTGACTTGTTCAAGGCCTGTCCACCCAGGTCTGAATGGCATGGGCTGGGCCTGGAACCAGCCTCACCTGGGTGCTAAACTGCCCGCTTTCTCCACACGCCTGGTTGCTCTGCCGGTCTGTAACCACCACCACAGCAACGGGTGTGCAACAGCAGTGCACATGCTTAGTAAGAAGGTCTGGGTTTGGTTGCTGTGGCAGCAATTTGGAAAATTCTATAGCTTTTTAGAGTCAAAGTTACACAGACCACGTAGTGACATTAAAAAATGCCCACAGACACAGTGTTAGATGAAACAAGGTGTCATGGCGCGCACATTCAAACAACTACAGCAACAACGGGGAGGGGAAAAAAAAAGAAAACCCCAGAAAAGACTGGCAGGGAACTCCAAAATGCTACAGTCGCTGTGCCTGTAAAGAAAGAGTGGGTGACTTTTGTTTTCTCAACTTCCTGTAGTGCTGTTTTCTTACTTTCTAAATTAAGAAACTAACATATACATAGTTTTCTCGTAACAAACTCAGATTTGCTTTCCTGGGCCCCACATGCCTGAGGCTCCAGCTCTTGTGTCTGGGACATGGTTTACCACGCACGGCCCTTCTGTTACGGGCAGCTCCACAGACACGTTCGGGTCTCTCTCCCTGCCATGTCTTCCTCACAGCAAACTACTCTGTTCTTTGGGGACTATGTGTAGAGGCTTTGAAATTCCTCAAAAACTAGAACCCAGAACTGGACCCAGGTTGTTCTGCCCGATCAAGCCACCTGGCGGCTTGCTGGAGCAGCTGAGTCCCATTGTGGGCTCTGGACCACAGCCGCTGCCTGTACTGTGAGCTGCTCCACAGTGGCTCAGCCTTTTGGGGCCTGGTGTCCCCTGCAGTGACCCTGGGGACCATTTTCTGATCCTTCCTTGCTCCCAACCCAACACAGAGAGAAAAGGAGCCACTTCTGAGAGGGAGGAAGGGACCAAGCTCACCAGGTAAAAAACACATCCCTGCACACATGCCTGCCTGGAGCCAGACCCTTTTCTAGGAAGGCCACAGGACTCTGGCTGCACGAGTTCAGGTCACGGTTGGCGTGAGAGCACCTAACCATGTCAGGCCTCAGCCCCAGAGCCTCAGGCTGGAAAGGAAGTTAGGGATGGATGAGGGGAGCCTCACAGGCTCACCACATCTGGATTTCCAGGAAAAAAAAAAAAAACTTTAAATCAAGGACAGAGGCCTGAGCAGGGCCCCAAACATGGCTCAGCATCCTCCAGGGAACCTCCCACCCTTGTGGGAGCCAGAGTATCCTGCCACACTCCCAGTCTCCCTCTTGCTGCCTTTGCCCTGTTCCTGCTGAGGTCCCACCAAGAAAGACACCGGAACCCCCATGGTGTGGGGAGCTTGGAAAAGGCCCCTGGGCGCCCCTGACGCTGCTCCTATGACAAGGCTGTAGGGTGCTCCCTGTGGAAACAAGGCCCTCACCTTCGCCATCAGATCCCATTCACAGTCTGAACTTGGCTCCTCCTGGGCCAGCTGGGACAAGGTGAGGGAGGGCTGCATCTCGACTGACCATCAGGCTGTTTCAGCTGAGCTCTAGGGCCGCACTAGATGGTGGCCCCATACACCCACCACGTCCCCATTAGTGGCACCCAGCCTCAGGCACCAGAGGGAGTACAGATGCTATCTGAACCCACAGCCAGCACAGCTGGGGCCGGAAGTCCTCTCCCTCCTTCCCAGCTCTCTGAGGGGAACAAATGCTCACTCAACAGGGTCTCATGGACCAGCCTGGGAGCCTGTGTCCCTGGTGGGTGAAGATGCCTGCCTGGTTGCCCACCACCTACAGAAGCCCTGTATATGCAGAGTGGGGGATGGGAGGATAAAAGGTAAAATTCTACCAGAGGCCTGGGGTAGCAACTTCCCCTTTTGAGCCTCAGTTCCCTGGTCTATAAAATGGGAGGGAAGGTGAGCCCCTAGTTAAGCTCCAAGAATCTGATGGCTGGACACGCCCCTTCCTGACAGCCAGCCTGGGCCCAGAGAAGCCTAGAACGGTTTGACCAGACTATCAGGAGGTCGGGACATGGTCCTAATGCCCAGTGCTACCTCCACCTAGGACAGGGGCCCTGCCCATTATCCCCACCCAAGGGCCAGAGATCTCTTGGCTTAGGTCTGGCCTTCTGGGAGGCCGAGGGTGACTGGCTCGACCTCTGGGCCCTGAGCTTCGTAGAGCTGGCAGGGCCTCAGTGAAAGAGAGGAGGGGTCAGAACCAGGCAGGCCAAGAACCTGCAAGGATGCCCTGGACAGAGAATGGCACACTGCCAGGGCCCTGGCCCAGGCTGACCCCTCCCGCCGGGCTCCAGCCAGCCCCCATTCAGAGGAAAGAGAGGGACAGACTTGGGGTAGCCTGAGACAAGTCTCAGGGATTCATAGGGCAGGAGGTCCCTCCGGCGCTCCCCTCCCAGTCGAGCTGACAGATTCCCGGGAGAATTCGAACCCACGAACAAGGGGGAAAGGGAGGCGGGGGATGGGAATGGAAGCGATGGCAGCTGCAACAGAAGCACCGAAGCGGAATTGGAAACCTCTACCCTCTACCACCGGGAAGCACTCGGACGGCCCCCTCCAGGCCAGCCAGGCACTTACCTCTCTCGGGAAACTGTGGGCCGAGCCAGCTCGCTGCGGGCAGCATCAGCGGCCTGCGGGACGGTCCGTGCGGCCAGGAGAGAGGGGAGGGGAGCAGGGGTCCCCGGGGCGTGCGGTACAAAGAGGTATAGGTGCGAAGAGGGAGGAAGAAGGGGTGGCCTGACGGAGGCAGGGGTCCAGCCGCGCGGCCGGGGGTCGGGGAGGGAAGAAAGGCGTGGGGAAAGGGGGCGGGAGGGAATAGGGGGAGGAAACAATGTAGCCGGCGCGGCCCCAGCAGAGTTCCGCTTCCGAACGCCGCCACCAAGGTTCGATTTTGGAACGTCGCGCCGGCTACCGGGGGCCTCCCCGGACGCTGGATCGGGAGCTGCTGGGGCTCCCCGCGCTCCACGCCGCGAAGGATCCGGCGGCCACAGGCTGGCTGGGGCGGAGGAACTACTGGCCGCGGGACGGCCACGACAGCGGCGCGGCCGGGCGGTCGCCCCGCCGGGACCCCACCCCAGCAGGACCCTCAGGCAGGGTGCGGGGTGGGATGGGAGCGGGAAGACGGCCGGGGGCTCGGCGGCAGCGGCCAAGCTCGGATCGCCCCGGGCTCCGCTGGGAGGAAGCTCGCAGGCCTGGCTAGAGGAAGCGCGGCCCGGATCCTCCGCCCGCGGCAGCGCGCCTGCGCGAGGGGGCCTGCCGGGCGTGCGGCGGGGCGTGGGCCGGCGGCGCGTGAGCCGGCGGGACGGTGCCCCCTACTGGGCGCCGGGAGCAGTATGTGTGGGGGTGTGTCTGCGCCCACGCCTTGCCCCCACCTGCGAGCCTGCGGTGAGGGCTCCCGGCGGTCCCCGGCAGAGGGCCGATCAGCCCGCCGTGGAGCCACTTCCAGCCATCTCTGGGCGCAGCTACCCTGATGTAGAAACAATTTAGGCCGGGCCTGAGCTCCTCTTCTCTGATCTGGTTATGGAGAGGGGACCTCAGTCATAGCAGTAAGCATTTATTTGCTAGTGGGACCACTTCACGACTGTCAAAAAGTTCTTAGTAGTAAAACTGGCCAACAGACAAGCTCAAAGAAATAATTGCCAGGGGTGGAAAGGTGGTGTACCACAGGAAGCAGAAAAGAGGGGAAGGCTAATGGGGAGACTTCATAGAGCTGGGACTCCAGGCAGAGGGAACGGCATGGACAAAGGAAGGGAGAAATGAGAGAGTTTGGTGGCTTTGGGAACTGTAAGTGGCTCAGTGCGGAAGCACTTTGCAGTGTGGGTACAGGAGAGTGGTGGGAGCTGGGGTCTTGGAAGCCACAAGGAATAGAGAGATTCAAAGAACCTTGTGGGACTTGCTCAGACTTTGTTTTCAGCCCAGAAGCAATGAAGAAGTTGTCAATAGCTGTGTGACTTTGGAAAAGTTACTTAACCTCTCCATGCTTTAGATCCTCATTTGGTAAAATGGGGGGAAAACTGAGAATAGCATCAACTTCTTAAAATCATGTGGGGCAGGAAATGAGTAAATACGTTTAAAATGCTTAGTGTGCTGTGGCTGGCACATGGTCAGCCCTCAATATTGCCTGTTATTATATATCATTGTTAACATGGAACGGGGAGGTGATCTGCTTTGAGCTACAGGAGCAGAGTGTGTGTGTGTGTGTGTGTGTGTGTGTGTGTGTGTGTAGGGGAGCATTGATGGGGAGAGACCAGAGACTCCAGTGTAGGTGGGAGGTGTCAAGTCATTTCCTAGGGACTGGGCCCTGAAGGATCAGGGTTGGGTGGGCAGAGAGGAGGGGCACTGTCCAGTGGGAGAGATGAGGTGTACTGACAAAGTCTTAAAATTCAAAATTAATGAGGGGCTGAGGGAGTGAGGTGAACAGTAAAGGGCCCTGTGGAAGAGTGAGCTGGGGGCATAGTGTGGCTGCAGAGAGTAAAGAGTCTTACATGCCAGGTGCAGGAGTAGGGTGTTGCCCACTCAGACAACCACAGGGTGGTCCTTTGATCCAATGCACCCCTGGGCCAGCTTCCCAGTAAGAGGCCAGCCTTTCAAGGAGGGAAGTAGTAGTCACACCCCTGCCCTTTGAGAAGATATAGTAAATCTCAGAGATAAATAACTATGGTGGGTGTAGTGGAGAAAAGCATGAATTTGAGCTTCAAATCTTCTTTTTTTAAATTTTAACCATTATTCAAGTACAGTTTTCTGTTCTTCACTCCCATCCCATGGGCTTCAAATCTTAAAGTTAAATTTCAGCTGGGCTATTTACTAGCTGTGTGACCTTGGGTTAGTTACTTAAGTTCTCTGAGCTTAGTTTCCTCTTTCTGTAAGATCCTACTCAAAATACACCTCTCTCAAAAGAGAAGGTGCAGATTTAACAAGATAATGGCCTGAAGGTGAGGGGGTGGAGAGGGTGCTCAGCTCATTTGGTTTCCCTTTCTTTCCTCTGAGGTTGAGATGGAATGATAAAGTGGGGCTGGTGGGGCCACCTCTCAGCCTAAAGGAATGCGTTTCAGCAGCTCTCCGAAGCCTTCTGGAAGGCAGAAGTTGATATCTCTTCTACCCTGGCCGAGTCAGCTGGCAAAATGGGAAGGTAGTGCAGCTGATTTGGAGAAGATGCTCTAACCCCTGCCCCAGTTTTGTTACCAACCTGTCTTCCCTTAACCTCAAATGAGTTTGACTTTTCCCCCTGGGTTTATGTGGCCCAGAGTGTGAACTTTGGAGTCAAACAGACTTGCATTTGAATGCTGGCTCCACCTCTTCACAGCAGTGAAATAAATTCTTTTTCTCTGAGTCCTAGGCACGGGTTGTGGGGGGTGGGGGGCAAATCAATAAAGGGCCCTGCCCCACAGAACCACCTTGTAGTGGAAGAGCCAATGAACTGCCAATCTCCTCGTTCATTCATTCATTCATTCATTCATTCAACAAATGCTGGGCACCTCCTAAGTGCTAGGCACTGTTCTGGATGCTGGAGACAAAAAAGTGAGCGAAGAGTGAGCATGGGTCTTGCCTAAGAGAATAAAGCAATAAACAGAACAATTATACACTGGTGTGAAGTTCATGAGTGCTTGACAGAGGAGAGTGGTCTGGAGAAACAGGCAGAGAGAAGCTTGAGGGGCAGAAGGCTGGGATGACAAGAGCAACAAGCGGGGAGAATGGTGTGAGAGGAAGGGACCAGATTCTGTAGGGCGCTATGGATCAGGGATGCTGTTACATGAGTTTGGGTTTTATTATATGAGCAATGGGGAGCCATTGAAGGGTCTTAAGTGGGAAGTGACATGACTGAGTGAAGGTCAAGAGACCAGTGAGGATGCTTTGCATAACCCTGCCAGTGGTAATGGGAGTGGGCTCTGGTGGGCAAAGGAGAGCCATGTGACAGCTCTTGGTGAGGTGCCGTTTGTGGGGAGTGAGGCCATAGGAGAAAGCAGGGCTGGGTCTCAGATGTTGCTGGAGCTCTGGAGGAAAGTGTGGTGCTCTTTGCTGAGCTGGGAGAGCCTGGAGAGGCTCAAGCTGGGAGGACAGCTCAGGAGCTGGATTTTAGACAAACTGAGTTGAAGATACCTGTGAGAGACATGGAGGTGTCAAGCCCGTGTTTGGAGCCACCTTTTAATACCAGACCACTGAGGCTCAGAGTAGAAAGAACTTTCTACCAGACCAGAGTCCACTCCCAGGACTAGGGCTTAGATCTGAGGACACCCAAAGCCTAAAGCACCAGCTGCCCCATGCAGTGGACTTTTGGAAAGGAGATCATTGGAGTAGGGGCCTTGGGTTTTGGGATTTGGGAGGAAATTTAAGAGGCCCCTCCCAGCCAAGTAGGCTCAAGCACTAGCTTTCCCAGTCTGGGCTACCTGTCTGGCATGAGGGAAAGGAGAAAAGAGAGGCTGGAGGACCCCGGATGGCCCTGGATGTGGGGAACTGTGCTCAGGACTTTGGGCTGCATTCTGATGAAGTAACCCACCCACACTAGCTCGGTGCAAAGTGGGGACGGCGCTGATGGCTAGAGGTCCAGAGCTTAAGTACCTCTATGGGTGGGTATGCACTTTGCACCTAGGATCTCCTGGGGAGGAAAGGGCCTCTCCTCCCTCAGCCTACCTTCTCCCCTCCCCCAGCCTCTTGGCTCTGAGAAGACAGTTTAGAGAAGCTGGTGTGAAATAGCTTGAAACTCAGTCCCGCCTGGGCAGAAAACAGGAAGCCAAGATTAAAGGCAGATTTCCAGCAAAGTCCCCTCGACTTCCTGCAGAGCAGGTGCCCAGGCTGAGCTGACTGTGAGCAGCTGCCTCCCTGCCAGCACCTGGGGCGCCCCACAGGGCTGGCCCTCCTGCTTTGGAAGCTGCTCTTTGACCCTGTCATCACCATGCCCATCGGAGCCTCCTGCAGAAAAAGACCACCACGGAAGGTGGAAGTAGCAGTCTCTGGGAAAGAAGCCTAGTGATGGCACCCACAGGAAACAGCTCTGGGGACACCTGGGGGCAGGGAGACCAAGCAGAAAGGGCATGGGCTTCGAGGTCACTGGGCCTGGTTTGAATGCCACTTCCCTGCTGCAGGGTCTCACTGACTTGTAGAGGTGGATCAAAGGGCAGAAGCAGCACAAAGCCGGGGAGAGGGGCACTTGAGGAAGGTGGCCAGGGAGAGTGGACCATTGCCCAGGCTGAGTGTCCCTAGGGAAGGCCAGAAACCAGGAGACAGCAAGTGTCATAGTGGCCCCTGCCATCCGAACACCAGAGGCTGCTTGGCTGGATGACTAAGCTGATATCCACAGCTGCTAAAAGCTCAGGAAACAAACAGGGGCCAGGCCTGGCCTCCCCTGCAGCCCCTTTCCCTCCAGACCAGTAGGAGAGCAGGCTTCCAGGAGCCGGGTCAAGTCAAGATGTGCCTGCCTCATGCAGAGGCATCATTCTCACTCAATTTATCTTAATAGTGTCTCTGTTAGAGTCCTGGCCTCACTCCTGCTCAGCTCTGTGACCTCTGTTTCCTCATCTCCAAGATGGGAGTGAGAGGCCCGGCTCATAGGGCACTTCTCATGCTAAGTGGAAGTGAGCGAGTAGATCGCTGGCACGGTGCTTTGGCACAAGGCTCACTTTTACTCACTGGCAGTTAAGTGACTCCGTATTTTTTCTCTGGCTCCTGAAAACAGGCTCTGTAGCCCCAGCTCCCTTCTGCTGTCCTCTAAGCCTTCGTTCAAGTCCAGCTCCCTGTGCCGCCGTTTCACCAGTGGCTGATGACATGAAGCCCTCTGTCATCCAGTCACCAAGTAGTGGGTGTGTGTGTACTATTTTCTGGGGACTTGAGTGGCTGGGATTGGGTAGGTCCGGAAGGTTTCTTGTTTCTTACCTGGAGTCCTGGGCTAACAAAACCTTCCACACATTGAGGCTTCTCCCTCAGAGCTGCTCAGACGCCTTTGCCCACCAGGTGTCGTCTCAGAGCTGGACCCGGCCACCCAGAAGTCCCCAGGCTCTGCTTTGTGGATTGGAAAACCCAGTTGGTGCTGTTCTGACTCCTTCATGGGAACTGTTAGGGCGGAAGTAAATAAACTGTTCTGAGGTTCTCTGCCATGCAAAGGTGGGAAGCTTGGCCCAGGGTGAGGGGAAGGAGGAACAGGGGCAGGAGGTTTGCCTGGCTTGGGCCTCGGCCCAAGCGTTTTCAAATCACATGCAAATCTTCCTTGCCAGGTGTACCTGTGAATTTAGCCTGGTATTAACAT